TTTAGGATAAAATATCTAAAATAAAATAGGAGTAGAACACAGTCATCCAATTCCTTATCTGAATTTAGACTGTGATTATACTTTTTTGTATCTTTATCACACACTATAAGGTGATTTTAAGTGTGACTTTCAAGCCATGTTGTAAAAGACATGTATAATCAAATAACTAAATAAATAAACTATACAAAGTAATTTTTCTGTATCATCTGCTTTTGTATATCTTTGGTCACTTATGGGACAGTGTTTGCAGTAAAGTATGAGGGGAGTAAGAGAGGGGAAGGTGTGTAAGAACATGGACAGGAATACGGAAGAGTAAAACGGAAGGGAATAACAAAAAGTAGAGGAAGTTCCTTGGAGAATAAGAAATACTTCTTTTCAGCATTCAGATAAGCATGGATATTTCATTATATTTATAACTTGACTATTACAAACTTAACTTTTGGGGGGCTAGGGGTGGATTCCATTACCATGGGACAACAGTGGAACCTGCCCATGCTTGCAAGACAAGCTCCATGCACTTCAGAGGGCAGAGGGAGAGAAAGGACCTAGCTTATTAGAAGAGCTGAGAAAATTGAGAGTTGATTCTAAATGGACCCCCAGACAGAGTTAATAAATTAATAGTCTGGCAAGCCTAGGATGGGTAAGATTCTGCAATGAGCCTTACCAACCTAAGACAGAAGTGCATTGCTTTTGATAATGTATATTCCTTGATGGATAAGTAAATCATTCTTGTGAGAACAACCTAAGACAAGCTCATTCTTGTTATTGAAACAAAAAAGGGGGCAAGGCAGAGAGTATTTGTGGCTGCTTGGCAGGAATATGACATTGAACAAGGACAAGGAATCAGGCAGGAATCTGATATTAGGCTAGAACAAAGAAATAATATCAGGTAGGAATCTAAATCTTAAGCTAGAACACTGAAGTAATCTCAAGCAGGAACCTAATTATTAGGCTAGCACAAAGAAGTAATTTCAGAGAGAAATCTAAATTTTAGGCTAGAACAAGGAAGTAGGTTTCAGACAAGAAAATGTCTTTATGCTAGGACAGGGAATAGATTCAGATACTTTGGTCATCCTGATAAGACCTTAGAAACAGTGATCATGGGAGTGTTCACATAACTGGGTTTAATGCCTTGCCTTTTCTCTCACTATTTGTGTTTATTGTATTGCTTTTTCCTTGACTATTTGCATTTATTGTATAGCTAGACCCTCAACCTAGGTCTGACCTTAATACATGCATGTAATCAAAAGGGTATAAAATCATAAAGGAGGATGGGGGATGGGATAGGGGGTCCTAAGGAGGGAAAATGGTGAAAAGGGATAACATCTGTATTGTAAATAAATAAAATATACAATAAAAAAAAAGAAAGTGGATTCTAGACATTGTTCAGTGTGTTATTTACACTATTGGTAGATTATTTTGCTTTTTCTTATTGTGACTATGCCCTGGTTCCTTCCAATTCAAGTAAGAATATATTCAGTTGAATTTAATTCTTACAGTAACCCACAGTAGACATATTTTAAACTTTCAAAGAGATTCTGGATTAAAAAAAAAGATTGTATTTATTAGTGATACTGAACTTTTAATGTGTTTGAGTCTGTTAAGCACTGAAAAATTTAAATTATTTGTGATTTTGTGAGGTCTTGGGGATAAATATGAAAGGAGAGTTTGTGATTTGTCAGTCATGTGTTTGTCAGGTTGACAGGAGTCAATTATACTGGACAGTTTATTTCAATTTAACACAAACTAAAGTCCTATAATAAGAATGAACCACTTCATCACAGTTAACAAAGTAACTTCCATAGGGAATTAAGCAAGCCTGTAGGGCATTTTATTAATTCCTTATTAATGTGGGAGAACCCAGCCCTTTCAGAGTAGTGCCAGCTTGGATTGTGGTTCTGGATGCTACAAGAAATCAGATTGAATAATTCATGATTAACAAGCCTTTAAAGAGTACATCACCATGGCTTTGCCTCAGCTCCTGCCTCCAGGGACCTGTCCAGTTTGAATTCTTGTCTTGACATCCTTCAGTGAAAAACAGTGATGGGGAAATGTGAGCCAAACAAATCCTTTCCTCCTCGATGTGCTTTTGCTCAGGGTGTTTTGCCATAGCTATGTGGACCTTTAAGATATCATCTCTCTTCCCAACCAACTTTTAGATTATTATTTGTTGTCTAATTTCCCTCAATCCAATTGGTGTTTTCCAGCTTTCCTGCTAATTGGTGCATACTCTAGTATGTGGTCAGCCTATCAGAGGTAACATAAACAATGCTTGATTTTTCAACAATTATAAAATACTAAACTTACCTTAGACACTAATGCTCCAGCTTCTTCAGTTTGCCTCACGTTGCTTAACATAATGATCAGTAACATCCATTTTCTGTGAAGTTATTAATTTGAAGAATGATCTAGGATATAGAATGACACATCCTGTTTATGGATTGGTAGAATTACTAAAACAAAAAGGAGTGCCTTTGATTAACCAATGTATCAATTTCATGAAATTTCCATAAAAATTCCAATTTTGTTCTGAACAGAACTAGACAGCACAAACCTAATGATCATATAAACACACAAGATGACTCTAAGGGCAAAAACAACACAAGGAACAAAAAAGAAGATGCTAGATCTACCACAGAATCTGATCTCAAAATATATCACAGAATCAAAGATGGCAAAAGCAGGCATACATATAAGAAATTGAAGAACATATCACAAAATGGAATGATCTACTATTCTCAGTAGAATTAATCTACCATAGGAAAAAATATATGACAGAATATGCTTTTGCATGTATTAAGTCATCAACTCACCAATAACATAACCAATGACCAGATCATTTTTCTGTTCATTTTCTGAAATACTTACGGAATGGACATTTATTTTACAAAACAAACCAGAGCAAGAAAAACGGGAAGACATTTTCAGTTTGGAGCACTACAGAACAAACAGACATAAAGAGGAGAGAGAGATTTCAATCATTTGTATTGTGGCACAGTGGAGATTCATGAGTATTAAATAAACTAAATATAAAATGAGGAATTGTCTTCATACTAGATACATATTTTCATGTTAAAGCCTCATGATCTGACCATGGGATCCTAACATATGAACACAATTATCTCAGTTATGTAACATCGTTTGGCCAATAAACTATTGTTTGGCACCCTGATGTTTTCTGAACCATAGGAGAGACTTTTGTGATGTCATAGTGCCTGTGGTTTTTGCCACCAAACATCCAGGTATATAAAAAACACTTAGTAGTTGGTGAAACACAGACTCCAGAAACATACTGCTGGTCTCCCTCTTAACAATCCTCTCCTGACATCATGTGTTACTACAGCAGCTACTATGGAGACCTAGGCTATGGCTATGGCTATGGCTATGGCTATGGCTTTGGCTGTGCCTATGGCTGTGCCTATGGCTGTGCCTATGGCTTTGACTATGGCTGTGCCTATCGTTGTGGCTATGGCTGTGGCTATGATGGCTATGGTTATGGTTGCTGCTGCCCACAGTGCTATAGAAGACACTGGTCTTATGGCTTCTATTGAGAAGATTATGCAGATACCCCACCTTTCTAACCAGAATGGCTTCCAAGTGTTTCCATACCAGGGACTCAAAAATGTCTTCAAAAATTGTAACTTTAGGACAAATCATCGTGGTTTATTTTATCTTCATCATACTCTGCAAGTGATATCTAGTTTAACCCTCAATGTTTATAAAAAGAAAAAAGAATAAAGAAAAATTTAAAAACCGGTATAGCATCAAATAACTAAGTGAATAAAGTTTACAAAATAAATTCTGTATGTTCTGTGCTTTTGTATCTAATTGGTCACATGTATAGAGGTGGTTGTGGGAATGTGTGAGGGGAGTAAAAGAGAGGAAGATATTTTAGGAGACAGACATGGAGAAAAAAAGGGAGGGAAATAAGTGGGAGGAAGTTAGAGAGAGAAAGATACAATTTTTATCAGCATTCAACTACAGACAGTCATTTTCTATTATAAAGAATATGACAATAGACTTTGAAGTGTACCTATTTCTTTAAGATTCAGTGATTTACATCTAATTATATAAGAATCAGTATGAATTCCACATCCCCTGTCACTTCCCTGTGCATTAGCAATCAAGCCACATGCTATTTTTCTCATAGCTAAACTAAGTTATTTTCCCATCATCAGTGAAAAAAGGAGCCATTTTCTCTACCTGCTCTGTAACATTCATCCTTTTTCTCTCTAATATTAAATATCTAATAGTTGTGGGAACTAATCTCACCTTGATGTTGATTTGCATCTCTGAGATATTGTTGTGTCCATTTGTCCATCTGCATCTATTCCTTTGAAAAATACTTGTTATAAATCTCAGCTCATTTTAGTGTCCATTAATATTCTTTTTACTTTTTCTTGGCTGTGTATATCCCACACACACATTTTTCTGTATTAATTCCCTTCCTGATATATTCATTTTCTTCATTGATTTGGAGAACTATTTTATGCAGTGGTTTTGGATTTCTGAAAAGTTTTCTATTCTCTATTTGTTTCATTCTTTTTTGTGTGACATAGTATTTTGTGTTTTTCATGTATTGATGTGTATGTGTAATGGATAGTGTGTATCAGTGTGTCTTTGTGGGAGGGTGTCAATTTGGGCACTTCTATCTTTTTCATTTGCTCTCTACCTTACATACTGAGGTAGAGCCATATAAGCTGGTATCTGATATTCTTATTAGTCTGGCTATCCGTCTGATTCTACTTAATCTGCCAGGTTGAATGGTGGGATGACACAATCAACTAGCTTTTAAGAAATATGCTTTGAATCTCATGGTATTATTTCATAGACACTGGTCATTTTATTTAATTCTCCTTCATCCCTCTCCATACTCCTTTCCCTTACTCCTCCTCTAATGTTCTCTTGCATGCATGACATTATTTTTTTGTTTACCCATTCCATTTATATCTTCTCTTTTCCTAGTGTCTTAGTTTCGTGTACTATTATGCAAACACACACAGAACACACTCACATACACATGTATATGTAAACTCACACATATACACAGACACAATTCAAGTGTTGATTTTATGTACAACCTAAGCCTCGAATAGTTGCCTTTCTTCACATTTCATTCTAAAAATATATTTTAAAATCTTAAAATTCTGTATTCAGTAATAATTATTTATAAGGAATTTTAAATATATCCATCTCAATTCTATCCTTTTCTATACATCTTAGTCAAATTTCTATTCCTGTGAAGGTGTTTTCATGATACATCGATTCCTAAAAAATGAAAACATTTAATTGGGACTTGTGTGTAGTTTCAGAGGTGTAGTCCTATTTCATAAGGGGTAGCATGATGGCACACAGACAGACATAGTGATGGAGAAGTAGCTGAGAGTTCTAAATCTTGATCTGAAGGCAGCAGGAAGAGGGAAACTCTGGGTTTTGCATAAGCTATTGAAATTTCAAAGCTCATCCTAAGTGATTCACTTCCTCCAACTAGCCCACACCTCCTATTCCTTTCAAATAATGCCAGACCCTACTGACCAAGTATTCAACTCCATGACCTATGTAGCCACTATCATTAGAACCATAACACTGTATTCCCTTGCCTCATGGGATTATAGCAAAATACTAATATAAAATTCAATTAGCCCAACTTCAAAAGTACCCAAAGTTCATCACAGTCTCAACACTGTTTAAAAGTTTGACTCTCAACTTTTGTAAAAGAAAAAAACTGTGTAGTATCAAATAACTAAATGATTGAACTATACAAAACAATTTCTTTCTGTTCTGTGCTTTTGTATCTGCTTAGTCACATATGTGGAGATGGTTGTGGGAAAGTCAAAAGGTACTGAAGGAGAGGAATTTGAAGAAGGAATAGAAAACAGGAGAGAAATAAAGAAGAATAGAGGAAGCTGCATAAGCTGCAGAGGTTTCAGCATTCATCTACAGATGGACATTTGGTTGTTTATAAAACAACTATTATAAACAATGTGACAATAAGCATGATAGTGTGCCTATTTCTTTAAGATCCAGTAATTTTCGTCAAATTGTATAAGAAGCACTATGACTTCTAGATCATCTGTCCCTTCCCTTTATAATTGCAAACATGCCACATGCTCTCTTCTGTCACGGCTGCACCAAGTTATAGTCCCATTAAGGATGGAGAAGAGTGTACTTTTTTTCTACATGCTCAGTAACACTCACCTTTCTTATTTCTAATATTACTTATCTAACAGTTGTGGTCTGAAATGTCATCTTTTTATTTGCATCTTTGAGATATTAGTGACAGAAAACATTATTCTGTCCATTTGTCAATCTGGCTCTTTGAAAAACACTTGTTCTAAAAATCAGCTCATGTTAGCATTCATTTATACTGTTTTAACTGTTTAATTTAGCTGTGCACATCACTCCAAAATGTTTATTAGTCCTCTGCCTGATATACTTGTTTTCTCTTTTTGTGTGCAACATCTTTCTACCCAACTTTGAGATTTCTATTTTTCTTATAATCCCTGCCCATGGAACAACCCCATGCTTGTCTTGGGATTGGCCTGGCCAGACTACCAGAAGTCATATCATTAACAAAAGCTGATCTTTCAGCAGCTATCAAATGCTAAATTTTTCTCAGCTAATAATGGCTGAACTCTCTCCTCCATCCATGCTAAGATTTTTTTTTTCATTGGGAGCTTTCTCAGATCTTATGCTTACTGTCACAATCACTGTAGGTTGAAATGTCTATTTGCCATGTTGTGTCTTGAAAACAACTCCACTGAAGTCATCCTCCACCTCTGATTTTTACAATCCTCCTGTCCCTGTTCTACAAAGAGCTGTGAGTCTGTGGCAGGTAGCAATATGTGCATTCCAATTTAGAATTGAGAACATCACCTACTTCTAAATGCTCATGAACCAGTTTGGATAGCAGGTCTCTTTGTTGGCTACCATTTACTGCAAACGCTTTCTTGATTGGGTTTAAGGTATATATTGATCTATTGGCATAAGTCAATAGCAATCATTTAAATGGTATGTCCATTTCACAAGATAATTAGTATTTGGTTCACTCTTGGACCTGTGAACCTGTGGTTTTTAATTTTTTTATTTCATTTTGTCTTGTATTATTTCTTCAAGTGCTGGGATAGGAGATATGCATATGCTATATGGTGCACCTGGAAGTCAGAAGAAAAGATGTGAAACTGAATTTTCTCCGTCCACTATATGAGATGCGCTAATGAAACTTAGGTTCTCAGGTGTAATGATGGTATGTGGCTTTACCCACTGAATTATCTCATAAGCCCAACATTTGACTTTCTCAGTATGGCTTATTTTGCTTAACATAATTACCAGTAGTACCTACTTGGGGGCAGGGGGATAATTTTTATGAGAAACTAGGATATGGAATGACAATAATACCTTGTTTGTGGATTGGCAGACTGAATAACATGGAAATGGCTGTTTGCTGAAACAATACACAGATTTGTTTGCAATTTCCATCAAAATTCCAATTATATTCTTAACAAAATTAGACAACACAATACTAAAGGTCATATGCAGGCACAAAATACCTTACTAACCAAGATAATAAAAAGCAGAAAGGAAAAGGCTGCCACACAACCTGATCTCAAATTAGACCACAGAGCCATAGTAATAAAAACTAAATGACAAAATCACAGAAAAAGGCATACAGAAAATTTAAAGAATATGAATGAATAAAATACTTTCAGATTAAACCCAAAATATGATCATGTAGATATTAACTATCATCAACTTACCAATAACTTAACCATATAACCATTTCATTCTTCATGAGAAAGGCTTGATGAATGCATTCCTCCTGATAGAATTACTCTACAATAACAAAGCAAACAAAAAAAGCAAACACAAAGACCCTTTATCTATGGAGTATTACAAAACAGACATAAAAAATAAGAGAGAAATCTATTTCAATGGTGTGTATTGTGGCACAAAGGAGTTTTATAAGTATTAAATAAAATAGAGACAGAATTGGACAGTCTTAAATGCAATATCAGAATTCCATGTTAAAGTCTTGTGATTTGACCATGAGGTCCTGACATATGAGCACAGTTATTTCCATTTATGCAACTTTGTTTGGCCAGGATCTATGATATCCCGATGTTTTCTGAGGCACGGTGGAGACAGGTGACATTTTAATGCCTGTAGTTTTGTCCTCCAAATTCCCAGGTGTATAAAAGGTCTTTGTCAGTTGTTAACAACCAGACACAAAGATCCTACTACTGGTCTTTTGTTAACTCATCTAGTCCTGGCACTATGTGGTACTATGGCAGCTAAAATGGAGTCCTGAGCTATGGCTATGGAGGCATAGGCTGTAGCTATGGCTGTGACTATGGCTATGGTGGCTATAGCTGTGGCTATGGTTATGGCTGCTGCCGCCCACTGTGCTGTAGAAGGTACTGGTCCTATGGCTTCTATTGAGGAGTTTCTACAACTGCCCAGCTTGTATTCTGTCATCTGCTGTCTTACTGACATATCTTCAAGTTTCCTTACATGAGGAACTCTTCCATATCTTCATAATTTCAAACTTTAT